CTTCCATGATGAATGTACTCAAATGCAGGCTGGGTTCTGCGAGAGCTGTTAATCGTCGTTACATCAGCGATTGTGTTCCTCTTAAAATTCGTATGCAAGCTTCTGCTGGTTTTGTCAGTGCCAGTGCTCTTGGGATGGCTTGTGGTCCTGCGCTTGCTGGCTTGCTTCAAACTAATTTCAAGATATATGCCCTAACAATTAATCAAGATACTTTACCTGGTTGGGTTATGGCATTTGCTTGGTTAGCATACTTAATTTGGTTGTGGATTTCATTCAAAGAGCCAATTCGTGACACTGAAGTGAAACATTCCTCTCCAGATGTGGATGCTGGTACGTTATGCTTAAAAGTCATCTTGAGATGGGCACACGTATGATGCATATGGATGTGTGATCTTATTGCCAAATAAGTACATCCTGAAAAATGTACCATTTAAGTCTTAAGTATCCATCTGTACTTTTTTCATGACTGCTAGTACATGTTAACTTAGCATGTCTTATGTGATTGTCAACATAAAAAAAGAAGCCATAGCACGTTTGCTTTTTTGGGTTTATAGATGGAAAGGTAAGAACTCTCTTTAATTTTTTCCTGTAATTACTTGAAGTTTGTTGGTCTGATCTCTTTTAAAATCTAGAAGACTGTTTCTTGGCTGCATGGACTTAAAACTTATGTTTAGTTCCTTCTATTCTTCGATGGGCTCTTGTAGTTCTGTTCCCTCATTGCTTTGGTAGTCTTTACTAATATTTTGACCTGTCCAAAGCTAGTTAAATTAATATCGGCCTGCTGAACTTTTAATTTGATAACTCGTAGCTATATTCAACGTACTGAACATGCTTTTCAGGTTTCATATTGCACTAGATTTGTGAGACAAAATAGCGACCACAGAAAGTGAAATAAAAATTAAGGAGCACTGTACGACTGACAGTCGCATGTCAAGTGAAAGATATACCAACCAAATTTGCCATGAGCAGACTATTTGCCTTTGTGTGTCTGTATCTGCAGAGTGTATTTAGAAGCATGTCATGTCTAATCTTGGTGGTTGTCATTGAGGATATCATCATTTATGTAACGTTGCCCACTAATTAATTTATTCTCGATATAGTTGGACTTTGAAATAGATATTATTGTATCAAACTAAGATTGCAAAGTTATACGCTTAGCAGAGAATTGAAGTTTGTAGCATCCTTTGATAACTATCTTTTACTTTTTTTACTTTCATCATTTTGCTGATCTATTGAAAAGAAGTAAGCAATCAAGCAATTCCCTTGTTGAAAAATGTTGTAATAATTGCTCATCACATTTTTGCTCAAGAACAGGACATGATGAAAATGAATCATTAGAAAGTGGTCTTATGCAACATTTGCTGCCAAGTTCAGAGCAGAAGCAAAATGAAGATGGTGATGATGAGTGTAACGACAGTGAAGATGCTTCAGAAGATTCTCACAGACCTGCAACTTCAGTTGCTTCAGCCTATAGATTACTTACTCCATCAGTAAAGGTTAGGAATTTCTTAGTAGCATCAGTGGCAAAAGATTTCTAGAATTTGTTTATACTAATTCACACTGCTTTTATTCCTTGTCGGATATCATACAGAGAGAATATATAAATACTATAGCTTCGGTATACTAGACAATAAGCATGCATATGGATAGATTCACATTGTCAATGCTCACTCGTTGGCATAAAAAATAGAATCTAAAAAATATAATCCTGAAACAAAGGATTAAAATCCAAAACCTTTTAGTGAAGCTGGCTGCTCTTCTGTGTTGGCAATCAGTGACTAGAGACTACAATCATGAACTGTAAATACGGGGACCAACACATATGTTAGTAGTAGGTGGTTTGTCTCAGTTGGCTAGCTTTGGCATGTTTGGCCAATGATCAGTTTGGAACCACTAAGAGACCAGGTGTGAACTGAATTAAGAATTTAAGAGGAACTAGTTCAGTTGGCTTGGTTCAGTATGAGGTGTATCGGTGATTAGTCTCAAGTTTCTTCTTTCATGGAATGATAAGCGTTATGGGATAATAGTTATATTATCCAATTACTTGAAACGTTGGGCTAACACTGTGATATTGTAGTTGTACTATTTTGATATCATATTATGTACCATGAATATGTGTATTTGTGGTACATTTAAGATCATTGGATGTCAACACATGGTAGGGAGGGTATAGTTCCCTGAGGTACCCAATAACAAGCTGCCATGATCAATGAGGTGTAGGTTAATGATATCACGAATGAATAGTTAGAACTTACATATGTTTTAATCATAGTGGCAGTGAATATACTGAGATTGAAACGTTTAGATGGTACAGTGCGTACTAAAGGAGTCTCAATTTACTTTGTGTTTCAATAATCTCTAAGAACAAAAAATGAAACGATTGATGATGAGATATGATACTCGAGATCACATAGAATGACATTTGTTAACTAAATTATTGTTTCATCTTCACGTATTTGTTATGATAATGGAGGGGTAGGGAATTCTAAACCACAATCATAGAGTTCATATCTCAACACCCTACTTTCCACTATGGGATTTAGTGTTTTTGAACCAAATCAGGAAGGAATTGGACAAACTTCTATCTTTGTTAAATTTCACCCTCTCAACTGATATTTAACAAAATTTTGAAAGATTAACCATTCACGGGAACTAGATTTGATAAATATTAACTTTGAAGCACTTGTTTTGTATTTAACAACTATGAGTTGGGTAGCACTTATAAATAGTTAAAATCTCTATGATGGAAGCACAAAGTCTCTTTTCCTACAGGGGAAAAGTGGAATTGTTGCTCTTTGTTGTCTACTGTAATTTTGGATGAATGATTTTATTTGAAAATTCTTTCTTGAAGGTTGATTATATATCATATCCCGATAAAGTATCGTATCTTGGATTTTGTTAGGTTGATTCTATAGAGTTATTTGATCCACTCATGTTGTTGCTCTTCATAACTGGTTGCAATTACCAATTATGTACAGTTTATGAACCAACTTGTCACCTTTTTATAGGTCCAGTTGTTGATATATTTCATGCTCAAATATGCGATGGAGATATTACTCTCTGAATCAAGTGTCATTACCAGTTACTACTTTGGATGGTCCACAAGTTCTGTAGCAATATTTCTTGCAATCCTGGGGCTTACAGTTCTTCCAGTTAATGCCGTTATTGGAACGTACATAAGTAACATGTTTGAAGACAGGTAAGCTTTGTGTTTTGCCAGCTCATAGATTACTACAGTTCTAAGTCCAGTGCACCACAGTTCTTTCAGTTATGTACTTCATTTGGCAGTTGAGCATATTTCTGTTTCATGGACAAAGAAGTATTTTGCCATATTTAGAAGTAGCTTAATCTTCTTTCAACATCTTCAATCAGATTTCATCCAACGTTGCATGACTTTGTGGTTCCAATTCAAGGTGCACCTTTTTGGTATTCTCCTCATGTTAACCTACCTTTTTTTTTGTTTCTTTCTTTGTGCAGGCAACTTTTGTTAGTATCTGAAATTTTGGTGTTATTAGGAATTGTACTAAGCTTCCAATTCACAAGCTCATACACGGTGCCGCAATATGTTTGCTCAGCATTGATCACATTTGTGGCTGCTGAAGTTCTTGAAGGTAAGTATTATGCTCACTGAAATCCAGAATATTTATCAAATTAACAAATTATCAG